ACTCTCGGTATTTCTGGGACTTTCTCCACTTCCTGAAATCACCACTTGCGCTGTAGCGTTGTACGCATTCGGAGGAACAGTCGCTGTGATGACGCTCGGCTCAAACAGCATATCTCCTGGGTGATCTACACAGTCTTCAAACGCCCATAGGCTGTATCAAGTGTCAATCATAGAAAACATGAACCCCCTAATAACATTAAAAAACTGAGCTGCACAGAAAAAAAGAGGACTTGAACATGAACCAGTCTGACAGTAACTACATGTCAACATCACAACCAGGGGGGAGAAACATTTATATTCTGTGTAAAGTTTGTCCACAGCGCCATAGCGATTGCTGGAAGAGGCGGGATTTATGACCTATACTGCAGCCTGTCACCAGAGGGTGCTGTTCTCACGGTGGCTATGATCACAATCGAGAGAGTGGGGCCACAACTAGCTCTGCTCACAGCCGGCTTCCACGAGGCCTCTGATGAGGTGGCCAATCAGAAAAAAGTGGGCTTGTGGAGGGGGTGGAGCCTTAAAGAGACGGCAGTTAAAATGAAGTGTTTCAGACGGAGGCAGAAATAATATTTTAATGCACCACTAAGAGAAATTTGATTTCTTTTTAAATCTAAAAATCACATAAACCCATTAAAGAGGTATCAGAAAGGAAATATAGATGATACCCTCCCTTTGATGAGTAAAGTGTGAGTTGAGAGAGAGTTGAGAGAAGTGATTGAGTTGAAACCAAAAAAGCCTCATTTTAAGTCTCTGAAATAGATTAAGCTCCAAAAACAGTCGCTCTTATCCTTCCCACAACAGTCCCCCCTCTCCGAGACCCTCCACCCCAGTAAACGACATTCATATCCGCCTTCATGTTAACAAACTGTCGTCTCATTCTTAGGCAAACATAATCCCGATGACATCAACGGGGCTATTTTGTAAGACTCGACAAAAGCTCCTCAAAAGCGGCAGAAGGCATAATACAGCTGTTCTCGCAGACTGTGAAGTCCTCATGCCCCCTTTAAATCCCTGATAGCATATTTCTAACGCTCCGTACAGTGTGAGACCGCTCTGTGAGATGTAATATGATCATTCGCACGGCGCACAGCTGGCTGCTTTGAATGCTGTACGTGTAATACAGATGGTGAGTTAATGGAAGTAAGGAGAATTCAAAGTGCTTTATGTAAGCATATTTAAAAGAAGATTACAGAAATATACTGTACATGGTGACAGTGGACAAAAAATAAACCTGACTAGTTGGAAACAGTCAGTGTTTGGAAAAAGGTGCTTCGAAATGGGACGCAGGTTGGATTAATCCAGCAAAGTAGGCAGCTGCACCTGGGCCCCAGAGCCCCCGGGCCCCACATTAACTGTGTCCCACTCAGTTGTGGTAATTTGATTAATTGGAGCTTTGTTTGTAAGCAGGGAAATCTGCTCTGCTAAAGCACTCAAACTGAAATAGTAAAGCTGTAGTTCCTTATTTATGGCCTTATCGTGAGTTCTTAAGGAGGAGAGTTTTATTCGAGCAGATGCTCGGCTTACATTACTCATTTTCTTCTTAATTATCAGGTAAATTCTCAGACAGCTAATGTGGGAAGCCTATGATTAAGCTGAAATTTCATATAAGCAGGGAATTTAGACAGAATCTACTGTTCGTTTTCACTGAATCAGTTTCTTTTTTCTTAATTTGTGCAGCCTTACCAATAACAGGACACCGATATTCAGTGTTGGAAAATCATCAAATATTAACATGTCAGAGAAAGAAAATGTCAGGAACAGTATGATCCTTTGCAACAACAAAGTGCTGTTTTTTTATTTGTTATTCGCATTTTGAACTCACCTTATAAAGTACTTTAACAAATAATTGATGCATGATCAGATAACAAAGACTCCTGATACCTCTAATATTTTAATGGACAACCTGTTCTCTTAGAATTACACAAAGGCACCACACTACCTTTTAAACCATTGTGTTGTTGTGCCACTAAATTTGTTAAAATCATTTGCAAACGCTGTGGAAACAATACAAGAAATAAAGAGAGTTTTTCTGACCTGCGATTCAGATCTTTACAGTTTTGCAGTTTAAAGTAAGAGTTATGGAGTCATGGATAGTGGAACCAGAGACTCGTTTGGCCGTATTAGGGGATTTTAGCAAAGTTACACAGGTGTTTAAAGTCACATTACATCATGGAAGTCAAAGTATGTTGACTTGACTTTCAGTTTCACCCGTAGACTGTATGTAGAATGGACATCAACCCTCTCCTTGCTGGGTTAAACCTCCGCACAGCACCCCCTGGTGACTGTTGCAGTACAGCTCATAAACTCCGCCTTCTCCTGCAAAATGAATGGAGCTTTGGACACATTCTGGTTGTGATGTTGACTAGTTTGTGCTCAAGTCCTCTCTTTCTGTGTGGTTCCATTTTTTATAAGTTATTCAGGATTACAAAAACATTAATGACATCATATTTTCTATGATTGACACTTGATACAGCCTATGAGCGTAAGACGATTGCATAAATCACCAAACATCTTTTTAACTTTGACTAATTTCTTTAGCAAAGAGAGTAAACACAACTCACCCACTCTCCTCCGGTAGCCACTTGTTTGTAACTAGAGTAGCGGTCTGTTACGGACTGCTGTGGGGTAACACAGCTTAAGGAAGAACATTGATGTACATTTCTTTATCATTTTCTTAAAGTATCATAACACATTAATCAGTATCAGTCATCATATTAATCATTTTGCACTGCAGACGCTGTAGTTCTTCTGATTGCATTTCCATGAAGAAATGATCATAAATGTTCTTCCTTAAGCTGCGAAACTCCGCTGCACTCAGTGTAATATCCCTTTAAGTTTGTACAATGACGGGAGGCGGAGTCATGTTGTCTTTTCAGTATACAGTCTATGGTTTCACCAGAATTGAACTCTGGTGTTATTGATGAAAGTCCAGAGGTATTTTTTTTGCTTTCCCATTAAACTAGCTCAACTTTATCCACTAAGAAAAAAAGTCTCTTTTTATGGACGTTGTTTTCAGCAATGTTATTTCTGTCAAACTAGCACGTCATGTGAAGCTGAAAAGTCTGTGTCAGTCATTTTATGTCTTTCTATCAGACCTTTCTCTCTGTTTACAGTAACAGTTCAAAACTTTCGGGTCACTGGGTCTGCTTGTTTCGCAGCAGCTGCTCTCCCAAAAGTGAAGGCAGGGATTGTTTAGCGCTTTCAGAATTTGCATCTATAAAAGCAGACTGGGATTCTCCTGGGCTCTGAGAAAAAGATTTAATGGGCAGTTATGCTTTTACTGTGCATCATGGCCAAGGGCGCAAATAGAATTCACATGATGTTGAGTCTGCTGTGATCAATAACCTGTAAACCAAGGATGGATGGCGAGCTGTTATGGCCATAAAACACAGAGCCACTTGTATTGACACGGCCATCTATACTACTCTGCTAACTCTCTGTCCACTGGAGAGGGAGAGCTCTACCTTTTTCTACCTTTATTATGTTGGCATTCGATTGATGTTCTTGCATTTATAAAAGCAGGCTGAGAAATGTGAAGACTCTGAGAATTCAGCATCACACACTTTCTTCAAAACGTTTTTTTTTTTCTTTCTCCCCGTTTTTTCTTTCAGTCCTCCCACATTTATAGATGTCTCATGGACAGCTTTCCGGACATTATATTTCAAAGATTCTTCTCAAAGGGTCTTTCAGAGTCACTGGGAAAAAGAAAATAAATATCTGTTTGTGTAAGAACATATGAGGCATGAAGAACTGTTCCATGCTATCTTAAAGCATCAACTATTTCCTGTTATCTAGCAGAAATCCTACAAACTAAAGGTAGTTTGTATGTGGTATGTACTCTTGAAGGACAGGTATGTGAGCATATACGTGCTAAAAATAATAATAACCAATATATATGCGTTGTACTTGGAGGTAATGATCAATTAGACCAGGAACAGTGGATAAACACTGGCATTTTTAGTTGCAAGGATAAGGACATAACTAAAAGCCACAGTTACCAAGAAACAGTAGCCGTGCATTATAGAGGAAAGTCTCTTATTTACCTCTGAGTATGTTTCAGCCTTGGGTAAATCAGTAATGGAGTCAGTCAGTGACTGAACTGTGTTGTTTTCCTGCTTAAAAAAGTCGGTAGATAATGAGTCACACAAGCAGATAACGGAGCGAGGTCAGAGTAATAAACCCGAGCAGCTGCAAAATATTGTTTGACCATTGAATTAATCTTGAAAAGGAAGCTACTCCCACGTGCTCTTCACACAAAGTCCTTTGCCTACAGCTTCATTCACAGAGTAGCTGAAAATACTCTCCAAAATTTATGTCTGAGAAGATATGCGATGGAAGTGACATGTATTGATTTTTAATAAGAGACTTCTGCAGCTTTTAAGATATTGCCTCTGCAATTAGAGCATCAGCATTGACCCATTAGGCTGAGTGTTGCTTTGCACCTAGTGTATTTTCATCATTTGGCATTTTGATGATAATGGAGTAAACTATTTTGAGCTCTATTTCAGAGTTCTCCTAAGTGCTCAGCGGAGAAAAACACCGCTTACTGAATTAGACTTTATGGTTCATTAAATATCATTTTTGTGCCCATGAAGCAGCTCTTACAAAAAAAAAAAAAGAAGTTTTTGTGTGCAACACCAAGAAAGCAGAAACTCGGGAAGCGATTAAAGGTTTTTCCCTTTCCTCCGTGGAAATACTCTATTTCCACTTTGCTGACTTTCTCTTCTCGATATGGAGAAGTCTTGACATTCAGCAGATGACTCTGGACGTTTGTCACTCCATTAGGAGAACATAACCCTGAGATGACATTTTTCTCAAAACAAGTATCTCCTTTTGTAGAAACTCTTGGCTCAAAATAATCTTCATGTCCAAAAACCCGGCTTACAAGTACAGTCAAATTTTGGATTTGTGCGTTTTGGTCCACTGGACTAATAAATGTTGTCCTGGTCAGTATTGATTATTTCCTGAGTGTTATCAACCTCTTTGACTGGTCTGACTTGAATTTGGTCCCAATCATGGGCTGGTTTTGTAAAAGCGAATTGTTGATTTCTTGTCCTGAATGTTTGTTTCATAGTTTGTTTTTTTTGTCTGTCTGACTGTAATTTTAGCTGCTGTTATGATGCAACCTTGTGCAAGGGAATAAATTAATGAATAAATAATAAATTAATAAAGTAACAAACCATCAATGATTTATTCAAACAAAATTTAACTTCCCCCAAACAAATTTTGCATTATATGCCATTCAACATCTTCAGTGTTTTATTTTACCAGTATTTATCTGGTATAAAGTCCTGTATTTTTTTATATTGTAGTGTTGGACAAAGACTGCGGAAATTGCTAAACTCCATTTTCCTGGTTGTACTCTAATGTAAGTACAGGGATATGATTCACACGTAGCAGACGGCTGACAGCTCCAACCTGTTGCTGTGAACAGGAACAGTCTTATTATAGAGCCTCACATGGTCGTTATTGATGCAGAAATTAGCCCGAGAAACCGTAACATTGGCATCAGCCAGGCTTTGACGTACTTAAACACGGCTGTGAAGTCAGAAATCACAACATCAGGATAAATGAGTCTCTTAACTTTGGACCAATCAGGACCTGCAGGTTTGGACTCTTCCATGTTGGCATGTTGTGATTTATTTGTAACAAGCAGCTTCAATAATAACCTTTCATTTTTAGATGTACAAAATTCCAGTTTTAGTCCCAAACCTATATAATTACTAAACTTTATTTTTTTTATCACCTGACACAAAATTCTACTTTCAACTTTATTTTTATGGCACTTTTCAGACAAAAGATGTATTTCAAAGTGCCTCACAGAGGGTAAAAAACAACAATTAGCAAGAATAAAACCCAACCCTCCCACCCACACACCCACTGATGGACCCACACACACAAAGACATGCACCCATCCTCACTCACCCACACATACACACACACAAGCACGCACAGTGTGAGAATTTGAGAAATATTGTTAAAGAGACATTATGTCAGTAAAGAGCTACCTTTGGGAAACACTAGAAAGAAAACTAAAAAGCGTAAAAAGAAAGAGTAAAACCTGATGGACTAAAACAAGAAAATAATATTAAATGAACAGATAAGTAAGAGCTCTTTATCATGTAAATAAATAAAAAGACTAAGAACAGAGATCATTACTAAAATGACAAAGTGTCTGATTCTGTGGTGCAGCAGCAGGAAAACCAGATCCCTGTAAGCATCAGAGCTACAAGTCAAAGTGATTGGATCTGGCATGCCAGCATCTGGTTAATGTGGACCATGTGCCACCTGTGCAGTGCCAACATATGTATCTTGGCAGTGTCTGAGCAAATTAAAAGTTACAGGTCTTCAGAGGAGCCTCGGGGGATTCCTAGTTTATAAAGTCCTCCTGGGTAATCAGGGGCACATGACTGAGAGACTGTCAGCTCTGCTTAAAAGTATTTCATATTTTGGCCGTCCTTTGTAATGCATAAATTCAAAACCACTTTGACCAAACTAACAATCAGACTGAAGTGTTATTTTGTTTTGCTGCCTGACATTGTGTTTTGTTTTTTTCGCCCTTCTCAAATTAATAGTTAGAGACGTGATGACATGAAGGCCTGTCCTCACCAAAAAACACGACTGTTTATGTCAACTGTGCAACAGCTTGGTAAGAGCTGTTCATAAGAGATGCACTTATTTAAAAAAAAATCCAATACTTATATCAATAATTGAAATTGCAATTTCTGTGCTGATGATTTTTGAGTCGTAATTCTTTGTTTTTAAAGTGAGTTTTTTTGAGAGATATTTTAATAGCTGCTTGTACCCTCTCCTCCTAAAGGGTCACTAAATTAAAAACCCTTTATTCTGGATCAGCAGCGAGGTAAACAGATGCGACAGATGAAACAGTGGTTTCGTTTTAAGAGATGATGAAGTTGTCACTGAATAAAAAATTCGAAAATCGAGTTTTCAGATAAAAAAAATGGGATTTTATTTTTGGCCAAAACTATGCAGCCCTATTATAAGGTGATGGCCTCTTGGGCTGTGGTAATTCACATGAGATGTAGTGTAGAGCAAGAAGGGGATCAGGGTGACGACTCAGCTAGATGACCAGGACTTGCATCATGCATGAATCAAAGTATAATATTTAGTTTTTACGAACATACGTAATAAACATTTATTTCGTAATTAAAGTTGTTTAAATACTTTTAACGAAGTTTTTTGGAGTTTACCAAACCAAGACTTTTATTCTTGACATAACTAAGTACTTGTGGTTCCCAGACCCACCGAACCGTGCGTTTAAGATTAACTAACTCTATTTCTCACACTGGCAGCTTTTATTTTCCCTATAAACTAGATGCAGTAATTCAGCAGTCAGTATTCTTAGTGCAAGAATAAATACTCTCGGCATCGGCCAATTTGGTTGCTTTGCCCCTGTTGCTCTCAATTCATATTGTTTGCTTGTCAATCTCATTTCCTAATAACTGACCAATCACAACCAAAGAGAGGCGGGACTTTAGATATCAACTTTGTCTACAACAATGTGATGCAATTTCCAGCTTAAGAGATACCGCTAATGCTGTTTTGCTCTTAACTGTTCGTATGTTGTCTTAGCCGACAAAGCCTCTAAAATTTGGGGCCTATAATCTGCACGAACACAGAGTTTGTGATCATAAAAACACCCATGAAGTTGGTTGATCATTCACTCTTGTTGAAGGAAAAGAGGACAAATCGTGATGCAGTTTTCCTTTTGACAAAAGCAGAGTACTGGAGCTTTTTTTTCCCCCCAAAGAGACGAGCGGAACCGTACCACTTTGTAGGTTTCTCAATTCATCTCAGCAGTAATTTCTAACAAAATAAAACGTTCCCAGGTGTCGTATTCCAACAGGCCACCCGCGAGACAGAGTTCTCTTTTCAAACCTTCGAGGTATGCAGAAGTAAAGAACGCCTCGTTCTTTGAAACGCCTGATAGAATAAGACACGGAGTAGAAAAAAGCCTGTTTGAGAGGCACTGCTTGAACAGAAGCACACTGCTTGAAGGAGGGAGTGGAGGGATGTCTTACAGCACAGACTTGTGTTGCACAGGCTGTCTGCACCTCATCCTCCTGGATGATCTGAGCTGTAATGACTTTGGACTCTGCATGGAGTTATAGCACTGAATAATGAGGTGAGCAATGGAGTCAGGGTGCAGGGGAAGTGTTGACATTTCATGTCAGTGGGTTCAGAAACACCAAAGACATCACTTAGAGCTTCGTGACACTTGATGTGTCAGAGGTTTTGTGTTTACACAGACGTGCTGTGGCTGCTTCCGCACTTTAGACTCAGTCAGGTTGAAATTTTGTGTTTCCACTCTGTATGAAAAACAAGTGATTTTACGGATACAAAGACTGCGACGCACAACAGTTTTAGAGGTCTTTGACTTATTCAAAGTCTGAACACACAATGTTTCTGTCTGTTACAATGGCCACTATGTTAGAGTGGACAGCAACACACATAAATTCATGCTGTTGCTTGAGTGACAGACTTGACAGGCCACTTGCTGGTACCCGCCCAGTCATCACATCAGACTTCATTTCATAGATGTAAGAGGAGCTGGGCGAGACTCGAGACAAATGATGTTGTCCAAGTTGGTGTGAAAGATTCTTGTGTTGAGTTAGCCAAGCAGACCTAACTGCACCTGAGATGGTATGCGATTACTTAACGCTGATGGCAGCCACTAATATTTCTCTATATTTCTCTGAATTGATAATTAACAAAGATGTAATAATTTTGTGACTTTACTCGGTGGAGCTTCACTGTCAAATTATCACAAATCAGCATCAATTCATTCTAGACATTAAAAGTATTAAATTATATATAATTAAATTATAATATTAAATTAATGAAAAGTAAGTCATGTAAAATTCAGACTGTTAAATATATATACTATTCATTACTTGATGATGTGGTTATCATTAATTCATGACTGAATCATACATGTACTCATGATGATATAAACATTAAGAATTAAAACATGCTTATAAGGTAAAACTGTAGAGTTAGATGTAATAGAAAAAATGATTAATGATCGTAATAACATTTTTTCCCATATTGCTCAGCCCTACTGTACATGACGGACACAAAAATCCTAAATCCTTGACTTTCTGTTCGGATGTTGTTCGTTAGATCTACTATGGTTTATTATTTGGGATGAAATGATCAGTTTTGGGATTAGACTGGTCCCGAAATCCCGGATTGGGACCTGTTGCCAGATTGGGTTTGTATAATATTTACTCTGTGATGCCTGAGTTTGGCATTAAGATTTGTGTCATCGTGAATTTGTTTCCCAGTCTATTTCGACTTCGACTTACTGCTGTTTTTGTTGGATGAATAATTAAACGCTTCATCAATAAATCTGGATATTTTTATTGAGGAATAACATTTATTTGATGACTCCAGCACTATTTCAATATAAATAAAACATACCGTAGTAATAATGAATTACCCATGCTCTAAGTTTTAAGAGTAATTGACCACCAATTAGTTAAATAAAGTGATTATCAACATGAAAAATGATCACCATAAAATATTTAATAAATTCAACACATAAACACGTTTCCTGACCCTGGATTTGCCTGCCCGCCCTTCCATAATATTTCCTGAAATAATGTCTGCTTCCCAAGAGATAAAGCTACTATCAGTGCATCCCTGAGTGAAATGTTGTTTATTCCGTTAATTACTATTCCTTTTTATATGCTGCACAGGAGCTGGGGGGTGGGGGGGCTATCGGGCACATGCAGCCAAGCACAGCCTGTAAAAAGCCTTCTGGAAGATTCATAAAAGTATAAACCACAGGCAGCTCCTCCTGAGGGCTTTTAAATGGCTCTCTGTCTTTGAGCAAGTGTTAAAATGTAAATGATGGAGAATTTTACACTTTGCAATGACAGCCTGGGGAACAGTGAGAGGCAGACCCACGGTGGATCCATCTCTGGCAACGATTTCCAATCATTTCCATTATTGTGAATGACCAGGATAGACCTACTTGATTGTGACATAAAAGCTACAGGACTCACCTTTTAAGGTCCGACTTTTCTGTATGAAGATAGAAACGAAGCTAATCCAGCGAGTGGGGAGTTCACAGATATCCTCTGTGGGGAAAAGATGCTCATTTTTTTTTACATCTTTGCAATGGCAGCTTCATAATCTCACGAGTACATGTACAGGCTTTAACTGAGTCATAATGCTCAGTTAGATGGTCGGGCTTGTCGGTGAGGAGAATGACTGACTCACTTCAGGAGCTTTTCACTGAACACTTGTGATGTTGGTGAGTGAAAATTAAAATCCCCCCCCTGAGATGCAGCACCAGTTATCAGTGAAAAAATAAGGCCATAAGCCAGCTGTTCTCCCGCAGCGATTGAGGAAAATCGTTTTAAGTACAAAGTGTCATAAATCTATCAGAGAGACTGAGCACCAGGTGTTCTCTGATTTATTACTGATGGTACCCTCTTCAAAAAATCTAATAACAAAAACAAGTACACCAGAAACCCAAGGTACGAACCTTCATGCACAATCGAACATCATTTTTTATATTTCTTGAAAAGTTGTCCTTGTAAGAATTGTAGGAATATATCAGTCTAACTTTATAAGTCTGTGGGTTTGTTCAAGTACTGAGTATTTATCTGATACAGGTTTGAACTTTTTATTTTTCATTAATAACCATCAATGGCATCACTCGCTCTCCACCATGACATTTAACTCTCTTTGACAATGAGCAGACAGCCTGTGCAAGATTTGCGTTACTGTGCTGAAATTTTTCATGTTGTTGCTTGAATTGTCCATCAAAATGACATGCACTTCAGGCTGCACGATTAATCGATTTTAAATCGTAATCAGATTATTTGATTCTGACGATATTGAAAAATTCAAAATCCTCAAATCAATTTTGCTCTTTATAGTGTCTCGAGCCTCCAGGCCACCGTAGGCTCCCCAGTTCCCACACACACCAGTGTGAACAAACATGGCGTTTTCAAAAGAAGGCGATAATTTTGTGGTTAAATAGGACAAGAACAAGTCAGTCAGAATTAATATGACTTCGCAGTTTCGGATGCAGAGCAAACCACTCCCCGCTGCAAAGTCTGTCTGAAGGCGGTATCAACCCGTCCACAAAAGAATTCAGGAGTATCACAGTATTCATCCACACAGAAACGGTGTTCGGGGTGACTGCAAACTGTACTTTTTGAAAACGGGTCAGAAAGTGCTTCAATCTGTAAACGACGACCATTTCATCTCCGTGTGGATGTCTATCTGCATCTCTGGAAACGATTATGTGACACACAGTGTAGCTTTTTTATGGCGCCTGTGTGTGTCCGGCCAAAACAACCTTTACACACATGCTCTGTACTCTTGTTCTCTTCGTTTTCAGTGTTTTTTTTTCAGAGATGATAGAAAAACTTTTATTAGAGTGAAGTTTGGTGAAGTTGTCACTGAATAGAAAAAAAAAAAAATTGAAAATTGAGTTTTTAGAGAAAAAAATCAGGATTTTATTTTTGGCCAAAATCGTGCAGCACTTTAGTCAACAGACTATGATGACTGATCGAACATTTCCTTAACAGCTGTGGAAGATTGTAGCTCCTCCTCATACTGCACTATGAAGGAGTATCTTTCTCCCAACCTGTGTAATGTCGAAGGTCAAATGACTGAGCTCCAGGTATCCATGCTGAAGCTCAGAGCTGTTTGACAAAATTTCAGAAAACTGTTAATATGATGGCGATCTGTATCCACCAGGCAGAGGAGCCCCTTCTATCCAACTCCTTCCAGAAGTTTCTCTCTCACTACGATGAGTCTGAGCACCTTCTGAAACTTTCACAACATCACTCTGAAGTTTATCACATTTCTGCAGGTGACAAAGTCAACTGCTTTGTTTTTTTTACATATATTGTGTGACTGAGATAATTGTTATTTTTAAGTGTTATACTTGGGTTAATTGAGTATCAGTTTTGCAGGTATGACAAGGATCTATACAAGTTGTTGATGTCAGGTGTGAAATACATCTCGATGGCTGGGCGTTTGTTGTGAGCTGCTTTTATGTTGTCATTTTAAAGTTGGTCATAACTTAATAAAAAAAACATTTTCCATTAATTAAGTTCTTCATTTCACATCTAATTAACTTTCATTATCCTATTTGGAACTGTACACCTTAATGTAAAGGCTATACAATGTGAAACTCTATATGCTGCAAATTAGACACTTAAAGAAAATTTTAGTCCACCTTGTGTCCAAATAAGAGATTCTAACTCTTGTGGAAACTGTTTACAACTCAGTAAGAGTTATTTACTCTGCCCAAGCAGATTCCTGATATGCTAAAATTAAACATTACGGTTTCCTACCTATCAGGGATGCTCTTAATTACTGCAGATTTAATCCTGACAACATGGCTTAATTAAACAGCACAGGCTGTAGCAGTAATTATGCAAGTGTAATGAAATACGGTGTTGGTCACAGCCTTCATAGCAGTCACAGTGAAGACTTCAGAGCACCATATTTATTTATTATATTTAACTTTATATAACTTCACAATTAACAGGCACATTTGTTGCTGTGGAGAGAGAAAATCACACCTTTCAAACCAAACCAGATCAGATCTGGTTGATTTTTCACATGCATGTCAGTCAGTGGTCTGAATGTCTCAGTGGATCCTAAAGTAGAAAGAAAAAAAGGTTGTTGATGAAAGAAGTTCTGTATTTTTTAACAAAATTGAACATATATTTGATTTTGTCTAATTAAATACAAAATATCGCGTCGTATTAGGGCTGCACGATTTTGGCCCAAAATAAAATTTCGATTTTTTTCTATGAAATTTGATTTTTGATTTCGATTTCTTATTCAGTGACAACTTCACCAAACTTCCTGTTAATAAAGTTTTTCTATTGTCTCTCAAAACTAAACCATTTACGATGATGTAGTGCATATGCCAAGCCAGTAAGTGGCGCTGTAACGCTGTTGAGGAAATGCTTAAAAGACAGAAGAGTACAGAGCATTCGTTATAGGTTGTTTTGGCTGAACATGCACAGGCACCATAAAAGAGTTATGCTGTGTGTCACATAATTGTTTCCAGAGATGCAGATAGATATCCACACGGAGATGAAATGGTCGTCGTTTACGAATTCATGCACTCTCTGACCTGTTTTCAAAAAGTACCGTTTACCGTCCAAAATGCTGTTTCCGTGTGGATGAAACGCCGATACGACAAAAAAACTTTTGTCAGGCACTAGCGGAAAATCAATGTGAAGATTTACATTTTTTAACATTGTCATAATCAAATAATCCGATTACGATTTAAAATCGATTAATCGTGCAGCCCTACTTTCTAGGCAAATATCACACAATCAAACCTTTTGTTTTCTGTACTGTACTGAAGAGGATATCCTGTATTTCTTTTTACCTGACATACGTTATTATGCTACTTCCAAGAAAACAAAGAAGAACTAGACTAGTCTGGCTTAGTTCTCCCCTGAATGAGCAAAAAGCACCACTTTAGGAAAGGTGGATAGAAATTTGTCTTTTCCTCCTACATCTGGCCACGATTTCATCAGAGAATGTCAATGGCAGCTTGAGGCCATGTATTTGAGTCTTTTAAAGCCTTTGTGCATATAAAATTTGATGAAGCAGATTTCTGCCCGCTTCCCTTCTCCGCTCATTTCGAAGATTAACCTGAAAATGTTATATTACTTTTGACAAACCAGCAAAACACGATCTGATGAAAAACCACGATGAAGGTACTCAGACACGGTGAGAGATTTGATGGCCATTATTTAAGATAAATGATGAGCAAAAATAAGAGTTTAAAACGTATGGCGTCAGTGTGTCGTTGAACACGCTCATTATTTTTACCTATGGGCTTCAAACCAACTCAGATCCTTCTCCTGTGAGCGAAATTTTAACTTTCCAAACATAACCCTGCTTTGATGAATCTTTGATTTTGTGTCATCTTCTGAGTCAACAACAAAAAAGTCCTTCATTAACCGGAGTGAGCCAGGGGTGAGGAGGGGAGACAGAGTGCTGGATAGAAGATAACAAGGCTGCAGATTAAAACACACACTTTTAACGGCGAACAGGCAGACAGGAGAGGAAGAGAGGAAACCTCAAGGAGACCAAGAGATCTTTGAAGTGACACTCAGGGCTTCTTTGAAGCTGCTCTCTTGTCCAGAAGCAGAGATAGGTCTGAGCTGTACGATTTGATTTGGCCTCATAGTTTCACCTTTTCTGACTCAGTATACAAGAAAGCATCGGCGAAGATTCGAAGCAGCGTAGATGCAGGCTACATCTTTTTCCAGAGAGCTGTTAATATTAAAAGAAAATGGTCTGATTTGAAAGTTATCACTCTGAGGCACATTTCTGCTGCGGAGGAACATGAAGTCCACTGGATTATGCCAGGAATCATTTTGCTGCTGCGCTCTTCCAACAGATTTGCATGTTTGTGCCATCAGTGGGGAAATGTTGGCCTCAGGCATCAGTGCA